TGGGTATATACCCAAAGGATTATAAATCATGCTGCTATAAAGACACATGCACACGTATGTTTACTGCGGCACTATTCACAATAGCAAAGACTTGGAATCAACCCAAATGTCCATCAGTGACAGACTGGATTAAGAAAATGTGGCACATATACACCATGGAATACTATGCAGCCATAAAAAAGGATGAGTTTGTGTCCTTTGTAGGGACATGGATGCAGCTGGAAACCATCATTCTCAGCAAACTATCACAAGAACAGAAAACCAAACACCGCATGTTCTCACTCATAGGTGGGAACTGAACAATGAGATCACTTGGACTCGGGAAGGGGAACATCACACACTGGGGCCTATCACAGGGAGGGGGGAGCGGGGAGGGATTGCATTGGGAGTTATACCTGATGTAAATGACGAGTTGATGGGTGCTGACGAGTTGATGGGTGCAGCACACCAACATGGCACAAGTATACATATGTAACAAACCTGCACGTTATGCACATGTACCCTAGAACTTAAAGTATAATAATGATAAAAAAAATGATGCTATTGATTGACTGCCATTTTAGACATTTAGGTTATATCCTGTGATCCTTATTATCTCATTTGTTCTCTGCCACAGGTGTTTGGAATGAGGCCAACCTTCCTTTTTTTTGGTAACTATCCTTGGGACTTCCTCTCCCATCAAGCCTTGATTTGGAATGAGACTGTCTCTGAGCTTCCTTCTTGCTGTTCCCCAAAACAAATTCATATGGTTCCCCTTCATCTGAATTTTTACTGCTAATCACTGTAGGAAAACATGCAATATTTATTTAGTACATACTAAGTTTAAAGCACTATGCTAGGTTTGAGGATAAGGCAGTGACAGACATAAACACAGTCTGCTTTGAGCTTATATTCTAGAAAGAAAGACGAACTATAATTATTCAATTATTTAAGTAAAACTTGTTAAGTATAATGAAGAACAAAATGGGAACTTCCAAATTTTGTGTGTGTGTGGGGGGGGGTATGGGGTGGGGGTGATGATGGTGGCTGTGGTATTCGTGAGAAGGCGTCTTTAAGGAGCAGACATTTAAACTGAAATCTAAAGGTTATGTAGCAGTTAGCTAGGTGAAGGAGAAGAGAAGCTGGAAAATGCTGTATATACAAGGATGGGAAGCAGAATGGTGAATATAAAAAATGGAAAAAAGCCACAGTGGTTAAAGTGCAGATACTGAGGAAAGAAGGTGTATGTGCTAGATGGGGCTAGGCACAGGTAGGAGCCAGATCATTTGGGCCTTGTAAGTTATTGAAAAGATTCTGTTATTTATCTCAAGAGCTATGGGAAACTACTGAATTTTTTTAAGGAGCAGGGTGACATTAAATTTTTATAAAATCATTCTGGCTACAGCATGGATAATAAATTATAAGAGGATAAGAGCAGACAGAAGATCAATTAGACTGCTAGAGAAGAGATGATGGTGGCTTGATCTAGAGTGATAAAAGTATCATGATAACAAGTGAATGAAATTGAGACAAATAAGAGGGGCTTTGTAAGCTCAATAGGCCAAATGGTTGAATATTACGAGTGGGGGAGAGAGAGATGTCAAGAAAGACTCTCAAATTTCAGGCCTGGGCAACAGAGCAGACTGCAGTGCTTATCACCGAAATAAGAAACACTGGAGGAAAGCCAGATATTTCACTTTTTGTTGGCGGGTTGAAGCAGAGGTTAGAATTCCTAAGTTCGGTTTTGGAAATGTATTACTATAGCTGGGAAACAACAATAAAGGTCAAGAATATTGTACACTTGATCTTAGCCAAAAGGCCGAGAAGCGATGGGTCAAGAATATTATAAAAAATAGATCTAGTCTTTAAAAATAGGGACATTATTAATACACAGATGACTGTCGAAGTCACAGGTGTGGCTCAAGTTGCCTAGGGAAAAAAATGTAATATGAGAAAAGAGCCTAGGGCCAAGCCTCAAGGAACAGCTATATTTAAAGGTCAGGTGGTAAAGATAACCTTTGTTAGTAAGAACAACCAAAGAATAAAGAGGAACACCAGAATACTGTGGAATCATGTCTAAGAGAAGAGAGTTTTAAGAAAGACACAGTAGCCAACAGTGTTAGGTGCCACTGAGAGGACAAACAGCCGAGACTAACAGAGGTTCTGGGATAGTGGAGGAGATGGAATTCAGAGCATAGGTAAAAGAATCCACCTTAGGAAGAAGAAACCCATCCTGCTGAAAAAGGAAAGTAAGAGAAGATGGACACCAACACAGGTAGCTCAATTCTCAATTGAGGGTTTCAACTTTGTTCTGTGAAACAGAGTGAAGACTGAACAGAATGAACGCAGACATTAGAATTTGTGGTTTAAACAGAGTCAAGAATTTAGGTGGAGGCTGGGCGCGGTGGCTCATGCCTGTAATCCCAGCACTTTGGGAAGCTGATACAGGCAGATCAACTTGAGGTCAGGAGTTCAAGACCAGCCTGGCCAACATGGTGAAACTCTGTCTCTGCTAAAAATTAGCCAGGAATGGTGGTGTGTGCCTGTGATCCCAGCCACATGGGAGGCTGAAGCAGGAGAACTGCTTGAACCTGGGAGGCAGAGGTTGCAGTGAGCCAAGATCGCACCACTGTACTCCAGCCTGGGTGACAGAGCCAGACACTCCATCTAAAAAAAAAAGAAAAGAAAAAAAAAATTCAGGTAGAAAAGAAGTCTGGATACCAGGTGCCCTATCATTTCAATACATGAAGTGGAATGGCTGGGGAGACAAAAATCAGTCTTAAGGAGAATAGGGAAATAGAGCCAGGTTGCATGGGTCTCAAGGAAGTCCACATTTTTATAAGAAGTTGGGGGCAGTAACAGTCTGGAAGTGGCAACAGGAAGGATGGCACTGAAATGACCTCCAACCCTGAGGGATTAGGGTTTGAGAAAATACATAGCTACAACTAGAGATAAGTCCAGGGGAAGCAGCATCCCAAAGAAGGAATCAGGTTTTAGCTAAGGCAATGAGGAAGACTATTAGAAGAATGGGGCACATGGGAGGGAGGGAAAGAATGAAAGGTAAAGTTAGCAAAAACGAAGTACAAAACATGGGGATGAGAGAATGGAAGAGGGCAGGTGTGGGGAGGAGCGGGTGCTCATTCTACGGATATTGCCCATGGGAAGTAGAGAACAGTAAAGAAAACAAAAGAAAGTTACAGAGTCCCCAAGTTCTATGCCAAGATTCCAGGTCTAAAGTTCTTGCTTGCAAGGTGGTAAATGAAAGTGCATGTCTCTGAAAGTGTTGAGCATCCATCACTGTGATGCTCTGCACTAAAGGAATGTCAAATTAAGTCTGATTCAATGGAGATTCACTATATTAGGAACCCACAAACTTCTGTTTTGCATATGATTATGTTGGGGCACAACCTAACATTCAGAGTAATAATAAAATCCCTGAAATAAACAGGCTTCCCTCCAAATTTATGCCTTGGATAGAGGCTCTTAGATACAGAAGTTCCAATATAATTGCTTTTTAAAAGGAAGTAATTGCTTTGTGATCATACTTAACACACTAAAAAATAAGTTTCTGCTCAATTTTCTGTGTAAAAGTTTGCCTGGTTTTATTAAAATGAAACATTAAAACCCTTGACTTCATGTTTTAGAGCCTATATGCCACAAAAATGTGGTAAATACCTGCATCATATTATCACAGAACTCAAAAACATTTTTTTGTAGACGGGGGTCTCACTACGTTGTGGCTCATCTTGAACTTCTGGCCTCAAGCAATCCTCCGACCTAAGCCTCCCAAACTGTTGGGAATACAGGTGTGAGCCACTGCATCTGGCCATTCATTCACTAATTTATTATTTATTTATTTTTCAGAGCACTTTTAATTCAGAAGAGGCTTCAGGGAGAAGCTGCCAACCTATGGACTTCAGAATCTCAAGAAGCTGTAAAATTAATCATCAGAGGAGATCTGCAAATCTATACTGATATCAAGCACTGTTTTAGGCTGGAAAAAATAATGTCTCATGCCTATATACTGTTAATTTTGAAATATATGTAAATACTTTTATGACTAATTTTTAAAGGATGCTAAAATGGAATCTTCATATTCAAAAAGATTAGGAACACACTGTCTATGGAATGCCCTGTTCAACCTGCCAGTCTACACACTCATCACCTCTTCCATTACAATCCTGACAGATTGTTATCCAGCTGCAACCGTATGATGAAGTCACTTATTCATATAAATGGTTTGAACATTTTCCATAACACTAAGTACACTTCTTTGTAAGGAAACTTGTATTTTTAGACAGCTTTCATTTTGACAAATATACTTTCTTCCCCAGAACTTCCAACACTCTAGAATTACTCAGAATTAGTTTCATCCATTTTGCACATGACAGACCCCTGAAATACTTAAGACAGTTCACATGTCCTTCCTAAGGCTTTTCTCTCACACTCTGTCCTTCAGTCAGGGATGTGACACAATTCCTCATTCTACCACTCTCCTCGTGCCCCTTCAGCATGTATCCATTTGTCTCTCTGAAAACTCTAAACACAGCACAGCACACCAGATTTGATCTGCCTGTGACAACACACAATAGAATGATTATGTCCCCTGACCTAGACACTATATTTCTATCAGTGTTACCTAAGTCAGGATTTTTAAAGCCTTGTAGTCAGCTAAAAAATTTAGGACTTAAGTCAGCTTTCTCCCATCTTATTTCAATACAATAGAGTTTTCTGTAGCCAACTGTCCATTAAATCTTACCTTGCTACTATGGGATCATTTATTCCAGCCTATTAAGGTCTTTCAGAATCTTGATTTTTGTCCTCTAACATATTAGCTATTTCTCCCAATTATATGTCATTTGTAAATTTGAGAAAGTTCATTCTATAGTAGCGGTTATTCATTCTTGGCACTTAAATACATGATTTTTTTCATGTTTAAAAGTCATGACTAATGACATTACATTAGGAAAACACTAATTTTTATATTTAGTATCTCATTTACATAATTCAAGACATTTTACCTTGCAATAGCTCTGATGAAGTCTAGAGACACTGTGCATTTATATTTTGGTCCATCAAGCTGATCGTCATGGCCAACCAGGGTTAACAGCTGAAGGGTCACTAGAGAGGTAATCTAAAAGAGAACATTTTTATAAGAAACTGTTTTAATAAGATTATGTAATACTTTTGTTTCTGAAACATCTTATAGTCTGATAAAGATACATAACTGAATCACAAAAAAGTCTGCAAAGAAAATGACTACTTTGCAATCTGTAAACACAAATTTGTACATGTCTACTAGTCTGACAACTAGGACTAGTTGTCAGAGTCCTCGTTTTTTTATTTTTTTTATTTTTTAGAGATATGGTCTCGCTCTGTTACCCAGGCTACAGTGCCATGGCTTGATCACAGTTCATTGGAGTTTCAAATTCCTGGGCTCAAGTGGTGCTCTCAACTCAGCCTTCCCAAGTGGCTGGGACTACAGGCACATGCCCACCACACCTAATTTTTTTATTGTTTTGTAGAGACAGGGTCTCACTGTGTTATCCTGGCTGGTCTTGAACTCCTGGCTTTGTGATTCTCCTGCCTTGGCCTCCCAAAGGGTCAGTGATACAGGAGGGGAAGGCAGGGAAGTGCTGGGTAGAGAAGGGCGTGGTCCCTGGCTAGTGCTCCACCCCCAAGTCTGTGCCCACAGACCTAGGTAAGGACTGGCATTTCAGTTTTCATGCCTAAATGTTACATTTTCCAAGACCACCCTGGCTGGACGTTAAGAGGAATACACTGGCGGAAGAACACACAAGCGGCTGGACAGCGAGAGGAACATACCAGCAGACACCTGCAGATGCCAGCAGGCCATCTATGGTGGGACGACACAGAGTTTGGCCAAGAACGGCTAGACTTCAGGGGAAAACCACCTTCCCACTCTATCCCCCTTCGGGCTCCCCATCCATCTGCTGAGAGCTACTTCCACTATTCAATAAAACCTCACACTCATTCTCCAAGCCCACATTTGATCTGATTTTTCGGTACACCAAGGCAAGAACTCGGGATACAGAAAGCCCTCTCTCTGTCCGATACGGCAGAGGGTCTAATTGAGCTAACACAAGCCACCTACAGATGGCAAAACTAAAAGAGCACACTGTAACACACACCCACTGGGGCTTCAGGAGCTGTAAGCATTCATCCCTAGATGCTGCTGTGGGGTGGGAGCTCCACAACTTGTCTGTGAGCATGCTCCCATCAGAGGTTTGAGCAGCAGGACACTGAAGAGGCGAGCCACTACCCCTGCGAGGGGGACGAGGGAACTTTTCCTGCTTCACTGGGATTCCTGGTGTGAGTCACTGCACTCAGCCCAACCAAGAGTCCTAGTTTAACAACTGATTCAAACAATCAGTCCTTAAGAATTCTACTAGAGACAGCTTTGTTTCATTAGTGACTCAGACACATGACTGCCAAACCTTTAAAAGCTGCAAATAAAGCACATTCCTTCTCTAAACATTTTACAGAATTTCTATCTAAATAACTCAGAATACAAAATCTATACTCCTTTGGGAATAAAACAATTATAATATGGATTTAGGCCCTTTTAAGAGTTGGGTAGCTGGTTAGATAAAAGATAAGAAATACATCCTTCAGAACTGGGCTTAGTCTTGGTTTAAAACTTTCTTTCTTTCTTTTTTTTTTTTTTTTTCTGAGGCAGGGTCTCACTCCATTATCCATTCTGGATTGCAGTGGCACAATCATGGCTCACTGCAGCCTCAACCTCCCCAGACTCAAGTGATCCTCCCACAGCAGGCTCCTGAGTAGCTGGTACTATAGGCACATGCCACCACACCCAGCTAATTTTTTGTACTTGTTGTAGACATGGGGTTTTGCCATGTTGCCCAGGCTGCTCTTGAGCTCCTGGGCTCAAGTGATGCACCTACCTAGCCTCTAAAGTGTTGAGATTACAGACGTGAGCCACCGCACCCAACCATTGCTTTAAAACTTACTGCTGATCATGTACTCAGGAAAACACCAGAAGGATTATTAGTAAAAGCAAAAGTGTATTTTGATAGGTCAAAATTAAAGTACAAAATCACTTAACATTCATAAGGCCAACTAAAATATTAAGTTCTTTGAAATCTAAGAAAGGAAGCTGATCCAAGAACTGAAATTCTTTGAGTGCCCATTGTCTTCTCCTAATTTCTTATTTTTATCTCCCATAGGCCAGCAGGAAAAAGAGCCAGCAATGGCAGTAAGATAACATTTGGAGACTTAGTTACCTGTAACTGTTCAGTGGCAATATGAATAAGAGTTTTAGGTTACGCATACCTAATCATATGTCTTAGGAATTAAAATGTTCACTTAATTTGGGACTAATACTTTACAGATGCTAAGTAAACATCCTATGAATAATAAAAACACTAATAGCAGTAGTAATTTGCTTGGTACTAAGTACTCTATACACACTATCTCATGTTATTCCTCATTACCCTCATGTCCACAAGGTGGACATTATTATACTTTTTTTTTTTTTTTTAAATAGATGAGCTTTAGAGATCTTAAGTAACTTTCCCCCTATTCCAGATCTACTGGCTTAGCAAGAATTCAAGAATCCATGATCATCTTATTATACTACATTTCCCATTACCATTTTGAAGGGAAAATTGTCATGCAGTATTCAGTCTGCGATTACTTTACTAACAAATCAAAGGGTGAACAGATAATAAATATATAGAGTATCTTATGTAGAGAAAATCCTATATTCAGTAAATATGAAACATTATTTCAACTGGAAAAGCAATTTATATTAATACATCAAAATACAAAGCTCTGCATTCAAAAGGCTAAGACTTTAATTTCTAATTCAGTATCAATAATTAGGTTACAACTTGAAATATCTTTTATAAATATTCTGTGTGTGTGTTGAAAAGAATATGTATTTTGCAACTGTTACGTGCTTTGTTACATGTCTATTGCTTTGTTACATATATGTCTATTACATAAGACACATATGTAACAGACATTATTTGTATGGTTAAATCTTACATTTTTAAAATCTGCCTGATCAAAACTGACACAGGTATTAAAATTCTTCCGTTATCACAGAATCTTTTTCTGCTTTGTATTTTTTAAGCTACGTTACTAGGTAACGTACATACAGATTTAAAATTACGTTTTGTTGACAAACCTTTTCATTATAATAACTCTTTTTTTCTCCAGTAATGTCTTAGCTTACGATGTATTTTTTTCTAATCTTAATATAGCTATATTAGCATTCCTTTATGTGCTCTGCCTTTTTCTTATGTGACTTTTCATGATTCTACATTCAAGGTTCATGTTTTCTCAATTTAAAACAGTTCTCATGTAAATAACATATAGTGGGATTTTGTTTTTATAGTCACTCTGACAACTTTTACCTTTCGTTAGGACCATACATAGACTCCATTTGTTTTTTTTTTTGTTTTTTTGTTTTTTTGTTTTTTTAGACAGAGTCTTGCTCTGTCGCCCGGGCTGTAGTGCAGTGGCCGGATCTCAGCTCACTGCAAGCTCCGCCTCCTGGGTTTATGCCATTCTCCTGCCTCAGCCTCCTGAGTAGCTGGGACTACAGGCGCCCGCCACCTCGCCCGGCTAGTTGTTTTTTTTTTTTTTTATTTTTTAGTAGAGACGGGGTTTCACCGTGTTAGCCAGGATGGTCTCGATCTCCTGACCTCGTGATCCACCCGTCTCGGCCTCCCAAAGTGCTGGGATTACAGGCTTGAGCCACCGCGCCCGGCCCATTTGTTTTTAATATAGCTAACAATTTTCTAATTTTTTTTTTCTACCTTTATATTGACCTATTTGTCCTTCCTTTCCTTTTTCTCATTCCTTTCTTACCTTTTGTTGTAATTATATTTTCTTATCTCTTTTTACTTTTACTACTTTGTAAGTAGTTCTATAGTCCTTTTAATTCGAATGTCCATTTTGATTTCTTTTTTGGCTCTTCTGCTAGTTTGGAAGTCCTCCTTTATTTCCAACTTACAGAGTTTTTCCAGTTTTTTGTTTTGTTTTTGGAGGATCACAGAAGGTGATCTGCATACTAGCAATCCTCTGAAATTTGTTGAGGCAGCTAGGTTCTCTGGGAGGAAAGAAGGGTGCATAGGAACCTGGGTGTCACTGTGACAGACTGAAAAGGATCATGGTGGCCACCCTGTCTGTTATGCCCACCAGGCCCCTTCTTGCTTTATTCCAAGAATGTCTCCAGTTGATGATGACAGAGCCCAGAGCATGCCTACCATGTGGGATGACTTATCCCAGGCAAATGAGGTGCAGGGTAACAAGAGTTTTTTCTCTTACTTATTAAGGTATCTACATAATATCCTACATTTTGCCTCTTAGCCTGCAAAGTCTAAAATATTTACTATGTATCCCTTTACTGAAAAGGTTTGCTGACCTCTGCATTAGAAGATTGCTAGATTCACATTGTTAATTTAACCAACATTAAAACTAAGATGTTTAGTAACTTGCTCAAAGTGATAATTACTGGATGGTGCCAGAAACTCACTTGACCAGAACTTAAATCTCCTAACTCCAACTCCAAAACTTTTTAAAAACATGCCTAAGCTGTGATCACAGCTAAGAGAGTGCACATCTAACAGATGTATTATACTCTTGCCTGAAAAGAGTGTGTTCTAAAAGAATTAGGATGATCTGCAAAATAGTCATAGAGGGAGAATTCAATAGAATAAACCCAATAGTATGCCTCTAGTACTAAGATGCAAGACTCTTTGCCCATTAACTTAGAAATCTGCTATATGCTACAAGTTTGCATCCACCGTAGAGGTGGAGCTGTCTGGCTGTCACTTAAGGTATTAAGATCATCCAATTATCTCATTCCCATTCTCACCACTGGGCCCATTTGGATTCCATACTTAATCTTCTAATTTCGGAAGAGAGAGAACATAGTTTAAGAGAAAAAAAAATTCAAAGTTAGTAAGATCTATCTTTTGCCACTTGCTAGCAGTAGACTTCAGATTGGTCAGTTAAACATTGTGGACCTCAATTTTCAAAACTAAAAATCATCGTAATAATCTTTCAGCCACACAGGGATGTTCTAAATATTTATAACTATAAATGAGCACCAAAAAACTGTTAGAATAAATGCTTTCAGTAAAATTGCAGAATACAAAAATCAACAAACATGTCTATACACTTACAATGAACTATCAAAAAAGAAAATTTTAAAAAATCTCATTTACAACAGCATCAAAAAGAATAAGACATGTAAGAATAAATTTAATCAAGAACATGAATTATTTATACACTAAAAACTAAAAAACATTGATGAAAGAAATTCAAGAAGACACAAATAAGTGAAAAGATACCTGTGTTCAAGGACTGGAAGAATTATTATTATTAAAATATCCATACTACCAATGCAATCTACAGATTCAATGCAATCCCCATCAAAATTCCAATGGCATTTTTCACAGCTGGAAGTATCACAATTCCTGATTCCAAAGTATATTATTAATACAAAACTATAGTAATCAAAACAGTATGGTAATGGCATAAAAATGGACACACAGATCCACAGAACAAAGTCTGGAAATAAAACCACACATATAAGGTCAATTAATCTTTAACAAGGGTACCAAAAATACACTATGGGAAAAGGATAGTCTCTTCAATAAATGGTATTGGAAATATTGGATATCCACATGCACACAAAATAAAAATGAACTCTTATCTTACACCATACACAAAAATTAATTCAAATGGATTAAAGACTTAAATGTAAGACATGAAACAATAAAATTCCTAAAAGTAAACATAGAGAAAAAAATTTTCTGACATTAGTCTTGGCAATGATTTTTTCAATAGGCTGCCAAAAGCACAGGAAACAAAAGCAAAAGTAAACAAATGAGACTACATCAAACTTAACAGCTTCTTCACAGCAAAGGAAACAACCAATAAAATGACAAGGCAATCTACAGAATGGGAGAAAAAAAAATAAGGTACATCAAATGGCATAAACAAGATAACAGAAACAAAATTATATTAGCAACTGTATTATAAGTAAACAAAATGCTTCAAATAAAAAGACCGAAAAAATCAAACTGCATTTTGTTTAAAAAAGATACATATAAAATGGAAGCATATGTGAAAGTTAAAGGTCAAGGACAAAATTGAGATATGTCACACAAATTCTAATAAAAAGGACAATGATGAAAATATGTTAAACATCAGACAAAACAGACATGAAATGAGGTTTAAAGAAAGGTTCACTTAATAATGATAAAATGCAGGCCCTGAGCTCATATCTCTTACAAGATTAACTGCTTGAGACCTGTATTATGAAGAGAAGAGACACAGAACAGGATGGACAGCCAAGGGATCCAGAAGTCTTCTGGGGAGAGTAAGTATTGCTAAAACCCAAGACAAGACGAATTCATTAGCCTTCCCAGTTTGGAAACAGGTAGAAATCTATAATAGACAGTAGACCTGAAATTTTAATGAATAGGAAGATATGTAGTAAAGAGTGAACACAGTCTTCTATTGCTAAGTATATTAACTTCAACCCTTTCTATTTTTCTGTGAGGGATTCATTTGCTAAAATAGGTTAGTAACAGCTATTTGAAAAATCATGCATTGAACTCTATTATTAAAGGCAGTTCTCCTTAGTACTTTTTTTAATACAGAAGAAAACATTAATTACCTTGTACTTTGCCACTGACATTTCCTTATATTTCTCATAACTGATACTTTCCTGTTAATTCAAACACTCACATATTTAGATTCTTTAATTGAAACTGTATGCTAAATTACTTTTTCTACAATTTTTTCAGAGAAAAACAAAAAATCTGTCTTTAATATAGTTAAGTTAGGGTCTTAAGAATATTTTCAGATGCCTTGCAGTTTGTTACTTTTAGCACATTAGTTATAACAAATGTCCAAAGGCAGAAAGTTGGAACAAACAGGTCCTTGAAGTCACTTTCAGTTCTACCAGGATTCCATGGCTAAATTAATCATGTAAATTGTGCAAAGGATATAATATCACTTCAGCTGAAGATGTAGCAGCTAAAAGGCATTTCCAGAATATTAATAAGATGACTGATCAGTTTTTTTTACGGGTAGGGCTAATTTAGGAAAAGCTAATACATTAAAAGAACTAAATCTAAAAAAAGCAATTAAATTAGAACGTGATTTTTCACATTAAAAAAACTCATTTCAGTCTTTTGTTATTCAGATATTCAGGAGAATATCTATTACATAAAGCAGTGAACAGGTCAGGCGTAGTGGCTCACACCTGTAATCCCAGCACTTTGGGAGGTGGAGGCAGAGGCAGGTCGATCACTTGAGGCCAGGAGTTTTAGATCAGCCTGGTCAACATGGTGAAACCCCATCTCTACTAAAAATACAAAAATTATCCAGGCATGGTGGCGCGCGCCTGTAATCCCAGCTACTTGGGAGGTTGAGGCATGAGAAATGCTTGAACCCAGGGAGTGGAGGTTGCAGTGAGCTGAGATCGCACCACTGCACTCCAGCATGGGTGACAGAGCAAGACTCTGTCTCAAAAATAAAAATAAAAAAAAAATAATAAAAAGGAGTGAACAAATGTACTAAATATTTAAAGGTACTTTCCCAGTTTATTAAAATTTTGCTAGAGTAAAATTGAAAACAAAATCAAGCACAAAGATTAATTAGTGGAGTCAACATTTTGAATCTCAAACGTATTAGTTTATTAACTTACTAAATGAAAACTTCTGGAAAAATACATATAAAACTTTAAAAATTATTTCTATACATGCATAAATAGCAGAATATTCACCTTCCTCTCTATTATCCAATCCTTAAATTAGCTAATTTTTATTTCCAACTACATATCCATGAAACTCTTAAGGACTTACTCTAGGTACTGTGCATTTTAAAATAAGGCTGGGCGCAGTGGCTCACATCTGTAATCCCAGCACACTGGGAGGCTGAGGCAGGCAGATTATCTGAGCTCAGGAGTTCGAGACCAGCCTGGCCAACAGGGCAAAATCCTGTCTTTACTAAAAATACAAAAAATTAGCCGGTCGTGGTGGCATGTGCCTGTAATCCCACCTATTCAGGAGGCTGAGGCAGGAGAATCGCTTGAACTTGGGAGGTGGAGGTTGCAGTGAGCCAAGATCATGCCACTGTACTCCACCCTGGGCAACAGAACGAGACTCTGTCTCATAAATAAATAATGAATAGGATCAGAAAAAATATTTATTTACTTCCTTGCTCCACTGTAAATGTTCATGACAATATGATGAACTCAAATCTCTAGGCTAGTATTAACACCTACATAGTCTGATATGGTCAGCGTGGACCTGACAAAAAGTCTCTAGACAGTGAGTACTCAGATTCATCGTGGTGTCTTAGTTTCATGTGTATAAATGTATATGTATAAATAAGGGAGAGGTGGGGCAGAGCCTTTCCCATCTAACTGCCTGAGACCTGTACTATAAAGGAAAAAGACACAGAACAGGATGGGCAACCAAGGGATACAGGGGTCTTTGGGGGACAGTAAATATTGCTGAAAGCCAAGATAAGACAAATAGCCTTCTTAGTTTGGAAACTTGTAGAAATCCATAATGAGAGTACGCCTGACAATTTTAATGAATGGGAAGATACACAGAAGAGAGTTAACATAGTCTTCTATGGCTAAGTATATTAACTTTGACCCTTTTTATTCAGTGACACATCTGTGACTTAGAGAAAAGAGATACACAACAGTCATTCCTGTTGTTAGGTCCCCGAATGCAGGGAGTGATTTACACAAAGTCTCTAGTTCCAGCATGGAATAATAAATTGAAATACTTTGCAGTAAATAAATTAATGATTTAGAAGGATTTAATCTCTGTTGGAAAAAAAGCTCTGCAAATAATAATGGTAAAACATCCTGTAATCTTTCTTTAGCACTAATTTACAGAAAGCTTCTTGTTCAATTGAGCTTTGAATTACCATGGAACACATTTCAAGAACAAACACGAACAAACAGCCTAGACAGAGGGTTAGAAAAAAGATAAATACAGAAGAATTTCCCACACAGACAGGATGATGCATAGATTCATATTTGTTATTCTTTCCTGCTAAGTACAACTATAAATCCTGGAAATAATATAAGAGGCGACCAAAAGAGGACTCTGAAAGGTAGAAAGAAGTAGGTGGGCTGCTTACGGACCCTAGGGCTACAGAAACAATATAGAGGGTGGGAGTCTTAGAATTCCCCACCCAAGAGCGAAAGGTGAACCAAGTCCAGCACTTCCCAATCCACAACTGAGCAACAAAAGGCTACCCAGGTAGGCTCATTCCTCCCCTGGATTAAAGAGGAATCCTGACGAAAGAACTGGCAATTCTATATCTAGCAAAACTATCCTTCATGAATAAAGTGGAAATAAAGACATGCTCGAACTAGGTAAAACTAGAGAATTTGTCACTAGCAGTTGATCTTCAAAGAAGAGCAAAAGGAAGTTCTTCAAACAAAAGAAAATAATAAAAGTGAAAGAACGAACAGTGGAAACAGCAGATTTCTGGATAAATACAAGAGAATATCTCCTCATGAGTTTTCTAAATCACATTTGATTAAACATTTTAACACCTTTTGATATGCAAGACAGTATCTGAAAAAGTGGGAAAGTTAAAGTATGGTTTCCATACTTCACTTCAAGTGGTAAAACACATATGCCTTATAAAACTAAGCAGGCAATTACCGTATTACCCTGCAATTGCACTTATGCATTTATCCCAGAGAACTGCATGTTCACATAAAAACCAGTACATAAATGTTCCCAACAGCTTTAGTGTAGTAGCCAAAAAACAGGAAAGAACCCAGATATCCTTCAACAGGTGAATGGTTAAACAAACTGTGGTACATCTACACCATAGAATACTCCTCAGTAATTAAAAGGAATGAACTATTAATACATGCAAAAATTGGGATGAATCTGAGGAATTATCCTGACTCAAAAAAGTTAATTCCCAAGTATTATATACTATATGATTATGCTTAAACAAATTCTTGAAATGACAAAATTCTAGAGATAGCAATTAGCAGTTAACAGGAATTGGGGAAGGCGAGGGAGACAGGAAGGTATGGTCATCAATGAGTAACACGGAGAATCCTTGTGATAATGGAATGGGTCTTGACTGTGGTGGTGAATTAACAAAACTATACACAGGATAAAATTTCATATAACCAAATATATATAGATGTACACAAAAGAATACATATAGAAGTAGGGAATATAGTAAAATATCACAACCAGGAAATTGACATTAATGCAATCAACTGATCTAATGAGATCAATCTAATGAGATCAGTAGATTGCATTAATGTCAATTTCCTGGTTGTGATATTTTACTATAGCTTTGCCAGATGTTACCATTGTGGAGAACCAGTAAAGGACACAAAGGAAGAGAGAGTACATATTATGTTTTACAACTGTGTGTGAATCCATAATTATCTCAAAAAAGCTTAATTAAAAAATAAAACACTAATAACGTACTCAAAATATAGATGACTTTGAGAAATACCTTGTAAACTTTCAGAATAAATTTTATCTCAAAATGTTTTAAGCAGCTATGAAGCTACAAAAATCTACTTATAAAAATAAAAACACTTTTTAACCCTTATTTGTAAGTATTTTTAAATCTTTCCTAAAGGCAGATGATTAGTTATGACTTGGGGCTCAGACGCAAGGAAGATTTGTAGCTACTGGTTTCATGCTGTGAGTCCATAAAGGTCCTTACAAAGTTGCCACAAACCTGTGACTAGTAAAACTTACTCCTTCCTCTATAGCAAAGGAAGATTATAGCAAAAGTATTACTATATAAATCCCAACCTGAGTGTTCTATTTTTCCAAATTCTTACTTTATATATTTTTTTGATGATAAAAGTTGTTTTTATTTGTTTTGGGGCTATAAAAGCCAACTGCACTTCAAATGTATTAAATATAAAATTTTCAACATAAAAATAATTGCACAATAAAATTCTGAGCTTGCCCATCAGGACTTGAAACTTTGGAGATCAATACCTCACTTAACAGATGAGGAAAGAGACATCATAAAAGGACAATTGGCATTATCAGTCCCTAGTCAGTCACCCACACAAATGAATGTTCCCAAATATTTAATCCACAAGTCCTAATGAAAAATAATACAACACATATGTCGTGCTAAAGGTTTACTAGAAAACATTTTAGAGCTGTAACAACAAATTTTAAATTAAGCACTCGTTTTAAGAATACTTAACATATTAAAAACATTTAGCCAAAATAATACTTCACATTGGGTGTTGATGATTAGAAAATGGTTTGCCAAGACTACTGCTACTGTGAATAAAGAACCCCAGTATGAGTCTATGTGCTTTTATCTTTTCTTCTGCTGTTTTTCAAAATTC